TTTTTCGTTTTTTTTTTTTTTTTTGAGAGGAAATTTGTTCAGCAGAAAATATATATCAGATAAATTTTGGGGGAAAAAAAAAGGAAATATGTGGAAGAAAAAAAAAAAAAACCAAACATGATGATTTAATTAATTAGATGAGTTGATTAAATTCAAAGAAAATATTGATAATAAATTTAAAAAAAAAATTTAAATCAAGCAAAAAAAAAAAAAGTTAAAACGACGAATTATTACCAAACGAGAAAAAATTAATTTCTATTTTTTGTTTCTCATTTATATTTGCAATCATAATTTGTCGCATTTTGTCATAATATTACTTAATTTCCAAATTTTTCTTCAATTAAACGATTGAAAAAATTTTTTTCGCCTTTTTTCGTAACTTTTAAAAGTTGAAAAGTCTTTAAATAGCTATGTATGAATGAAAATAAAAAAAATAAAAATTAGAAAAAAAGGATATATTCCATTTTGATTTGTTTTTTTTCCTTCAATAATTCGTTCATTTTCTCATTTCAATTTATCCCTTTGGAATAAGCAAATTTAATGATAAATTAAAATATATTTCTAATTTGATAAGATTTGAAGACAATTATGCTTTATTAAAATTGAAATTTATATTGAAAAAAATTAAAAAAAAGGAATTATTTTTAATTTTTTTCTTTTCTAAGTGAAAGTTTTTAATGCATATATTATTCTTCAACAGTTTATTGAAAAGTTGAATAAATTAAACAAAATCATTTAGATAACATCTAAGAACTGGTAATCACATGCAAGCATATATACATATATCCACATACATCAACATACATTTCATATATACCCACATACATCCACATACACCCATATATATATATATATATCCACATACATCCACATACACCCATATATATATATATGTCCACATACATTCACACACATCAACATACATCCATATATATTCACACACATCAATAATACATCCATATATATCCACATACATCCACACATCACATACATCCGTACATATATATATATATATATCAACATACATTCCACATATATCCACATACAAGTTCATATACAAACATACAAATGATACATTCGACATACCACCTCATAATTTAAATTGAAAAATTATGAGAAATTGAAGAAAAAAATTTAAATTGAAAATTTTAAATTGAAAAATTCATTTTGTCTTTTTAAAGTCTAAATTTTATCCAAATTCAATAAATCATATCTAAAATTCAAGTAGAAAATCCAAATTAAAAATGTCACATTCAATGGTTAAATGACAATTAAAATTATTCATTTTTCTGATTTTTACAAGACATGAATGAATGGATTTATCTGCAAATATTGTTTTGTTTTTCAAATTTGAGAAAATCCTTTTAATTTTGATCGAAATAAAATTAAATCTACACGAAATTAAAAATTAACAAAGTTATAATAATGAAGTGCTTTCGATTTATTATCATCCATTCATTACTGATTTATCGGAATTGAATTTAATTGATTGCGTCCCAATTTCCTAGAATTTAATTAAGGATAATACAGTTTTGCAGTTTCTTTAGCTATTTGATATGAAATTTTTACTCAAATAATTAAGTCCTCTCATTTTTGCCAATTGATTTTGCCAATTAATTTATATGTAATCGAGTGGTTGTATTAAAATAACCAAATATGAATATTCCTATTCGTAAATTTAAACTTAAAAACTTGAAAAAATCTTCAATATATTCAAACAAAAATGGCAGTCCCCATATTATCAATTATTACATTTTTTTTTCCTTACTTTTTTTAATAATTAGTACTATTAAAAAAAAAAGATATTAGAAGCAGATCCATTTTTGATATGCATAGAAATAATAATAGCAATCAATTATATGACGTGCAATATTTGAGATTTGACGTGACGTAACGTAAATCACTTGCGAAAAGTATTCATTTTGTAAATGCAAGAAATATACCAAATAATGAATCAGTTGCGTAATTGAGTAATTGTAATATATATGATTGTAAATTAAATGATTGTAATATGAAATTTTGCATTATTATATTTGAAACAAAAAAGTACAAACAATATTGGGAAGAAAAAAATTTATGCAAAAATAAAAAATTAATTTAAAAAATTATTGCAAATAATTATTACATGACAATTCCAATTACAACTTAACATACAAAATAATACATTAATTAGAAATAAAAGTTCGATGTAAATAAGAAAGAAAATATCAGTCTAGACTAAAGTTTAAGTCTTATAAAATCCTTTAAACTTTTATTATTTTCGTAAAAATCTTGCAAAATAAAATTCTCAAATATTTTCGTAAATTTTTGACAAAATTTTGAAAAAATTTTCTTTAATAAAAGTAAAAAAAAAATTTTTATTTCATTTACATTAAAATTTGATTTTGATTATACATGCATACAAATACTTATCAAAAGTAATTTTGAAAACAGAAATACTATTCCATTTTGTTTTTGTTTTTGTTTTTTTTATGGATTAGTCATTTATCAAATCATATTATATCATATCATATCATATCATATCACTGAAATCTATAACGATAATTAATCATTTTTTGATATTTACCAATAAAACCCCACTCAGGAAAAATTAATCCAAGTATAAAACGTGTAATATTTGAAGTTATAAATGGTTGCATCCAATGAAGTAATGTACGATAGATAAAGAGATATTGTAAGAGTGATAAAATTGCATGACGTCGTTGAAGTCGCACAAATATTGCTGTCGTAAGTACTAACTTATTGTATTGAGCTGATCCTAAAAAAAAATATCCTAAAAATTTGAATTGAAATTTTTTTTGCTTTACAAAAAAAAAAAACGACAGAAATATTGCGAAAATTACTTAATATAACCAATTATATTTGTTTTGAAAAATTAGAAATTTTAAAAATTTATTAATTATAAATTTAAAATTACAGAACAAAAAAAAATAACAAAGTGAAATCATAAAATAAAAAAATTGAAAATTATGAATTCATTAATTATAAATTTAAAATTATAAAATAACGAAAAATTTGTCATTTTTAATCTTCCCAAAAAAAAAAATTTGTTTCCTCCTCAAAAAAAAAAAATTAAATAAAAATTCAACCAGCGAGAAAAAAAAAAACGACGGAAGTATTACAAAAATTACTTGCTTATCCAATTATATCTGTTTTGAAATATGGAAAATTTTAAAATTTTATTAATTATGAATTTAAAATTATAAAAAATTTGTCAATTTTAGTTTTACAGACAAAAAAAATTATTTCCCCGCAAAAAATAATTAAAAATTCAACCATTATATACATATATATTGTAGCATTTTAACGAGATGACATGCATTAACATTGAAAAAATCAAAATCAAAATATTCTCTCATAAAATTTCTGACAATTTTAACTCATCATAATTTAAAAAAAAATCATTTCAACAAATGATATTGATAAATTATTATTTTATTATTTAAAAAAAGTTTTTTTGAAAAAAAAAATTTTTAAAAAAATTTTTTAAAAAAAAGTTTTTCACTATCACCAAAGGTTAATAAAAAAAAAAAATAAAAAGAAATCGTTAAAATTAATTTTAACCTCTAAGTAAATGCATTAGTAATACTTCAATAGTAACCAAAGTACCGGAACGACCACAACCATCCAAACAATGTATAATTGTTGCTGTTGGTGATAAACGTACTCTAAAGTTAAATAGAAATTCATACAAAAAATCTAACACATACATCAAAGATCATGAACAATTAGTGTATACTGTTACTCTATGATTGGAAACGGTAGCAATACTGTACTTAACATTATGTTATCACTATAAACAAAAAAAAAATTACATTTGAAGTCAAGAAAATACGGATTAGATGACGACAGCAATGAAGCAATTGAATGAATTAGTATTAATGATTGGTGATATT